CTAAAAACAAACAATTAGCTACATTTGTTCCACTTTCGCGAAACTTTCTAAAATACCCATTTAAATTACCACTTTGGTGCAGAGTTTTTAAAACTCGTCGCGTGTTCGTGCAAATTTCCAACCTTGATTTTCGGAGGCAACTGCCGTATCTGTGCAGCGGCACCTGGCGCAATTTCCGTGAGAAGCGGCGCACAAGTCGCCTCGCGCTGGCCTTTCCTGCTCATTAGCGCCGCGTGCGAATTACGTCGATCTGCACTCGCGTGTGTAGCGAATTTGCAGCGCCGGCCACTCGCCGATTAATCCCCGAGCGGGCTAATCGAATCGCCAGCGTTAATTTCTGCATGACGAACTCTGACAGCCGGTGTGTCCTGCCGGGGACGGCCGCGATTTATATACACGACGATAATCGTTATTGTCTGCATCATTCGTCCGAGTTGAGTGCGCCAATGTGCCCCTGTGTTTAATTGATTTGGCCCGGATTAATTGCTTTTGAGTACGCTGATTGAATTCGTACCGGTGTGTATTCCGTTTGCTTTGTGTCGAAACATTAATTTACAAAAAATGTAATTGAATGAAAACATTTTTCATAGAAGAGCTGACCACTTTTTCATGACGAACTGAATAAAAAAATCATAGATTTTTAGCAATCATAGTTAGAAAGCAATAGTAATTATTAATTTTTTTTAGTCAAAAGTTAATAATTCAAGTAATTATTACATATTATTGTATTTTGAATAAAGCGAATCTGTTTTTTTGTTTCTTTTTTTTTATTATTTGAAATATTTACGGTTCCAAAAAAGGATAACTTTATTAAAAGTAGCTTCTATTTTTCTTCTGACAAGAAAAGTCTTTAATTGTCAATTTTAATCGATCGGCTGAAAAGCATATTTTATTTAGTTTTTCTTGAATTTTAATTAGAAGTTTTTAAGATGTAAGTTTAAAGTTGTTTCCAATAAGACCGATATATTTATTTTTTCTCATCCGTTGGTTGAAAATGCAGATAATACCCATTTGGAAACAATTATTGGGATTTTTTTACAATTAATATAACAAAAGTTACATCAAAATTTAATTAGTAAAAATCTTCCTCGAACAGGTTTTATAATCACAATAAGTCATAGAAAGAGATTTACACATTTTAATTTTGCATAAAATTCAAACAAAAAGCAGTACTTTAGAGTATTTGTGTCATTCTCGTAGCGTGCTGAATGCAACTGGCTTTTCCAAGAAGCAAAACACGCCAACACGCCGGCCGTAAAGCGTAAATGTTATTACTCTCATATTGGTTATAAATGCACACATAAAAACAAAACCATAAATTCAAACAACACACGTCCGCGTGCATTATTTCCTTTAGATGATATACGGCGCCGTAAAAATTTACACTTTTTGCGCCGTTTGAAAATTCTTTTGCAGAGTAAATTCGCACTTCAAAGGGGATTTGTTTTTCTTGCGTTTAATTTCGTTTCACTCGAAAGCGACCGCAGCTCTCACGAAAGTGCGCGGAATTTCAAGAATATATATACGAGCGCGACTTTTGCTGCTGCATTAATTCCGTCTGCTCTCGAATGCAAATGTTTAATTTAAACGCCAGTACATTCTTGGGCGCACATTATGAATGCGTCTGTTGCAAATTGGAGGAACAAGTGGCGCGAGGGGCACAAAGGGGCGACACACGACGACGCGCCTCTTTTCTTTGACGCAAAAGCCGCGGATTAATGAGTCAAAGCATGAGACTGCCCTACTTAAATGTTTTTATAACTTGTGGAAATAGCAGAGGTGTTGTGAAATTTTATTTTTTGGTTAAAAATTATTGATTAAAAAAATGAATTTACTGTGAACCATTTGTTTACTAAATTACTGCACTCTTCAATTTACAAGTTTTTAAAATCTTACTCGTTTTTTATCAAGAAAAAATAAGAGAATATTGTAGGATTTTTTGTCAGTTTTTGTTTGCTTTGAAAAGCAACTTAAATAGAGTTTGTGACAAAAAAGTAAAAAAAAAAATAAATATTTAATATAAAATGCTGCTAACAAGAAGTGAACATAATCTGGTGACACAAGCCCGACTAAAATAGCCTTCTTTTTAGCTTAGAAGTTTGATTATTATTTCTTAAGCTAGTAATGTAATTTATTTTATATAAATTAATTTTATATGTATTATAAATGATTATTCTGTGTTTTTGATTTTTTTTTTAAAATTTTAATTTAATTATTTTTATTTAACAATATTAAAAATATATGTAAAATATCGCTGAATATTTTCAAATGCAGCATTGTTAACTAAGTTTAATTTTATTTGCCTTTCTTCTTCTTATTATAACAAAAACAAATTGAGCATGAGCACAATATTTGAAATTATTGATATTTAAAATATAATTTAAGGTTTCTAAAAATTCAGTCTGTATTATTCTTGTTCATAAAATTATGGAACAATCATTAAAATAACTTTTATTTAATGGATTTTACTGAAAGTATCAATGCAAAAATCACTAAATTGCTGAAAAGTACATTATCTAAAAAAGGAAGACTTCTTTTAAATATAAATATTCTGTTTCTTCTTATTCTATGCAAATGAAAGATTCTTTTTGCGGTCTCATAATTTCATATATTAATCAACAAAAAATATATTCGCGATAATTGGTACCTTCTTTATATTAAATTAAGATTTTAATATCGTTAATTAAAACCTTTTTCATAATTATCGTCCACTCTGTTCAAACTGATCCTAAATCGATTATCAAAGCTAAGCGTAAACAAAGCAAATTAATTTCACTTCACCAAAAGCGTCACGAATCGCGCATTGTTTTGTAGGTATTAATTTGTTGCGCGTGTGATGATGAGATGATCTATCAATATTTCATTACCCGAGGGTTTTTCCCGAAAGCAACTCTGCCATTCCGAGCGCACATAGCATTGATTAAAAGCGGCGGTGATGCAAACAATTTGCCAACTCCGGTGCGCGCACAAACACTCATTGCATTGCACGTGTCAACACAAATACACAAATAATGAATATTGTGGTGGGCGCTCACGGATGTTTTGTCCCTGCATGGCTGTGTACATATTTTAACAAGCAATTCAAAACAAAACCATATTGGCTCGTGTTAGTTTCGGAGCGTTTAATTTGCTCGCGCAGTAATCGAATGAAAACTCGCTTGCTGTGCTCTCGGTCACAATTAGCAACGGCCGCGAGACTAGACAGCCACAATTCGCAATTGTGTACGTGTTATTAAAATAATAATCGCGAAACGGCGTCATGGGACGAATGGGATGCGAATTACATTTGATTTTTTCACTAAAAATAGGTCAAACCAACAGCAATTTTGGATTAATTAACCTGATTTCTGATGTATAGCTTTGAAATTTACATCGAAAAGTTTTCTTAATTCTATTTTTACTTCTTTAAGGACTCCTTATTGCAATGCTAAGAGTACCAAAGAGGTTTTTTTGATCTCCCATATGCCCAATGTAAAATTTTTGCCCCATGAACCCCCAATTTTTTTCTGCGAATCTGTTTAGGGTCATTCAATTATCATTTTGTGCAATTTTGAGCAAAAAATTTCGGGCAGATTTTTTTTAATCGCCAAAAACAAAAATCGCCATAAAACGCCTTGTTAAATTTCAAAATATTATATTTCAAGATTAATCCGCGCGACCCCCCATTTTTCTTTGTGCAATCAACTCCACTGATGGGCAGGAATCTATAAAAAAATCTGGGTCCAAAAATTTCGGGCCGATTTTCCGCAAACAGGAGTTGTAGATGTCAATAAGGAGGCCTTAATATTTTTGCCGTCAAATTTAAACAATTTAATAAGCTCAAAAAATTGACACTAAAAAAAACTCTTCTAGACCAGACAAAATTGTTTAAACCATCAAAAGAAAGCATTTTTCACGTCAGATAGTTTTATATTTGACTCTTTGCCGCACAATAAGGAAAATTTCGCAGTAAACACTGTTTGATAATTTTATTACAAGGCATTGGAAGGAAATATATCTACGTAGTTTAACTGTAAATCACGATTGAAAAATACAATAATAACGTACAATTGTCAGGATTTTGGGGAAAAAAACTTTATTTAAGAGGCTCAAAATACTTCTGAACAACGCCTAAAGAGCTTCAAAGGCAACTGAAATATTGGATTGATTTTTATTTTGCTTTTGATTTGAAAATTAGGCTATTTAATTTACATCTAATTCAGCAACAAAATATTAAGTAACAATTAATATATTTTCAACAATAGAGGAATTCAGGAAAAATATCTTTAAATTTTGAACAATTGCGTCAAATGAATATTAAAATTAAAAAGTATTATTCCCATGAGCAGGTTAGACAAAAACCAGTCCGGAGGTTTGGTTGAATCCGTGTTCCGATCCTAAATAGGCACCGCGTGGCTGTAAAAAGAATATTTTGCTCTTTTATTACCTCTAAAGAGTCCAAAGTCAGGTTAGCTGCTTGTTAAATATTTTGTTTAACTGAACAAAAAACATGGCATTTTTCAGGGTTAATACTCATTTATTATATTAAAAATTTTGAAATTTTACATTTTTATTTATGGGTCTATGCAATATTTTTTTAATTTCTTCATTAATGTACTTTCTCATTTTGACCTCCATACAATTAAAGCAATAAACATAATTTGTTTTTTTAATTATAACTAAAATTATAGAACGGAATCATAAAAGAGCTTTTTGCATAAAACAGAGCAGATCATGGAAAATCTTTGCGAGAGAGGCGCGTGGCTCGGATAATGGAACAAAAAACCTCAAGCGCTCTCCGCTCGTATTATTATAATGCGTTTTTTTTCTCGCCAGCGGCTCCTGAATTTTAAGCAAATTTAATTACGTCGGCTCGGCACGCCGCTTGCGTTTGGTTATTTTTGTTGTGTGTTTATTTTTTTCCGTGCTCGCATTTTTAAGCAGGGCAATAAAATCTCGTTTTAATATTAAAACATCCAAGTACGTGCTCGTATAAATTAGTCTTTCATTTTTGCTCGCAGGAAACTTTTTTGAGTGCGACTGCAGGATGAACTGGGTGCACACCTTGCACAACGAGACCAACAGCGAGCAGGTGCGCAATTTCTTGGAGGAGTTGACTTGCAATTTGAGCGGTGGCGACATCCCCAATGGTCTGCTTGAGCTGGAAAAGAGCAAAGTCGTCCAGCCTGTGCGATCCAAGAGCTCCGAGTATGACGATTACGACGATGGCCAGCACCTCCAGGTAATGTAAAATTACTTAAAAAATTTATTAAATTCAAAAAGTTTCATCCACTTTTTTATATACTAAATATTAAATTTATTTAGGAGCGGTTTAGTTTTTACTTCAATTGAATTGAATAACAATAAAGTTTTTATTTTATAAATTAATATTAAAAAAATTAATGTTCAAAGTTCAAAGAGCTGTTAAAATTAATGAAAATTTACTTTTAAGAATTAGTATCAAACAATCATCAAGTGGTTTTGCCACTATTGTGACGAAAATGAACTCTAGATTGAAATATTATTTATAATTTTAAGCAAATTATATTCAGTGACTTGTGGATTTTATTTATAAATTTGCTCCACAAATCATTCCATCAGTGGATTGATCTTTGCATAATATGTGTCATTATGAGAAAAATTTGTGTTTGTGCAAATTCAAATTTTTTTATATTTTCTTGAATAACCAAGACATTTTGTATATTTTTGAATTATTTCTGAAATTAAAATAGATCTTTAAATTTGAAAATAGCTAATAATATTACTTTTTCGTAATTATTATTTTTAAATTATTTGCTTCAAAACGACTTTTTCAACTTGGATTTTGCACTCAAAAGTCGCCCATTTTTACGTTGCCTATTCTTCCTATTTAATTAAGGAAAAATTACTGAATTTCTGAATATTTCAGGACACTGAGAACCACTACCCTCCGGCCGCCAAGCCCGTGTCCTCCTCTACCGGCCCCGTCACTCGCCACCTGCTCGAGATCCCGACCGACCTGCTGCCCTGTCCCTCGGAACGCACCGCACCACCGCAGTCATCGCCCGTCGACTTCAACTTCTACTACCCCATTCTGGCCAGCGACTCCGCCGCCATTCGACCTCTGCTTGCGTCCATCTCGGCGGCCCTGCTTCTGGCCAAGTTGATCTCGTGATTCAGCACTGACCCCGCCGCCGCTTGAAGAATATTTTAAGTTTTCATCATCCTGATTTCAATTTTGAACACGAAATTTGAATAATTTCATTGTAAGAAATGGAAGAGGGCTCTACATTAATTAAACTCTCAAAATTATTTGCAAATTAAGAACATCAAACATTGAAATAAAAAGTAATTCAAATTTCCTTTCTTGGTTGTGTCCAATAATTATAAATTTTATTGTCTGCTAAAAAATTGAAACAATGAAAATTAATTTAGAGCATTCACACAATTTCCAAGCTATGAAGACAAAGTATTAAAAAATTTCAATTTACCTCCTCTCTGCAAATAAATTAGGTTCACTCAAAATGAACAGCATCATTTGTGAGATTTAATTTCATGGAAAAATTTTGTAAAGTAAAATTAACTTAATATTGAATGCCCTTCAACAAAATGATGCCAATAGACCAAATTTTTTTGCTTTGACAACTAACAGAGAGGCGAGTGAAGTGATGCCATCGACGTTGGCAAATGTCTCTTGGCGATCTCATTAGCATTCGCTTTGCCATTGTAATAGAGCCCTCTCCGGCACACACACACAACCTTTGTCTCTCTCCTTTGTTGACACAACCATGCACACCGTGGATCATTGTCGGGTGTGTGTGCATCTCTGTGCATTCAGATATAATTATTCTCCATTGTGTTGTTGCTCTTCGAAAAGCAACGCCGGAGGTGCGGATAACGCAGCATTTACGTTTTATAAAAGCGGCGGTTCTTTCTTCAACTATTATGGAATCAATGTGTCATACATAATTATTATTTATAGAGAAAAAAAATAACTGTGTCTGTTGCTTTAGGCTCTTGATAGCATTTTCGTCAAAAAGATATAAAATTTTGAAATTTTCCTAAAACTCCTCATTCCAGCAGCGGTTTTTTGTTTTGGCATTGTTGTAATGTTATGATAAAAATCCACAGTGGCAGAAAGTCAATACAACGTGCGCTAGTTTTGTAAGAAACAATTGGTAACTTATGGACTTGACGGTATTGAGAAAGAACTTATCTTTTCAGAATTGAGCCTAAAAGTGAGAGGTTCAAACAAAATTTAGCTCTGTAAGAACTCAAGTTTGTGTACATTTTGTGTGAACATTAAAACGGGCCACCTATTTAACTACAGAAAAAGTGAATGTAAATTTAGAGAAAAAAAATTCAAATTGAAAACTGTCAGGCTGAAAAGAAGTTATCGATGTACCTTGTAAGATGCAGATTTGAGCCTCTTCCTTAATTGCTCTCGGAAATCTTAAAAATGTGTAAAATTAATTCAAAAGAGGCTCAACAGTATAACTTCAAAACAAGATTAACTCTTTTGATAAAATATGTGAATAAGGATTAAAATTAACCGGGCCCGACATCGCCGTTACTTGTATCAATGTGCTATATTTGTAAACAGCTTACCGCATAAGTATTATATAAATGATAAACTAGCAGTTTAGTCAGTTCTTATTTCTTAAAAAAAAGAAGAAAAAATCGGTGCAATCGAGCACTACATTGAGAAAATGAATTGAATGGGATAGAATGCATTGTATCCTCTGGAAATTTTACCGCTGTGTGTTTGAATCTTGATTTTATTCTCAAATTTAAAAAAAGGAACAATTTTCTTGATTCGCAAAAAATAAGTCGCGGAACGATATAGTCTGAATGTTATAACTTATGTATATTGTTCAACTCTACTGGCATTTAAGCGTTTAAGATGATAAAAAAAATCATAAATTGGAAGAACAACTTTTGTAAAACTGGACTTTGTGCGCAAATAAAATTCTTAACTCAGAAGAGCAAAAAAAATTAATATTTTTTTTAACCACCCTGATAGGTATTCATTCAGTGCGTAGTGTCGCGTGGGTCACGCACGCAAATACATTTTTTCACTCGAGCACATTTCTCATAAATCTGTCACAGAAGGATCATTAATAATGAAGGGTGCTGGGGTGCAGCTCTGCACTGAATACTGGAAATACTGAGGCGCACTTTTCACAGTCTAGCTCTGAATAAGTGTGTGCATGCGACGAGATTTTTTATTGCATATCAAAATATATGAATGTGTCTCGTTTTGAAAAAGAAACCGGGCAAAGCATCGCGCGCGAGAGCTGCAAATAATAAATCACGCGCGCGTCATCCTTCTGAAAGAGCAGCTCCTGAAAACCCACTCGCGCGTCTTTTTTCCATTTCTGAGAGATTCCTATGAATGTGTTCGGCAGAAGATTTAAAATTTGTCACTTCATGACGTATGTTTTACTTCTGCTGAATTTTGAGAGAAATCCGGGTGGTGTTTTAATAAAATTTGCTTTAAGAATATGCAACTTGCAACATGAATTTATGGAAATTAAATTAAAGTCATCCAATGGAAATTCTATTATGGAATCATCTAGAAGCCTTTGATAAAAAAAACTTAAACGAAGAGCTCTTTTAATTTTTGACTGAATGCGTTTTACCTTCTTATGTGGAATTCTCTTATTTTTCCAAATTTAATAAAACAAGGAAAACGGCTCCATAATAATATAGAAAAATTTAGAGAAAAGTTTTGTAACTCATATAGTTGGCCAATTAAATATCGTTTCTTTCCGAATAATAAAAGGAGAGATATATTTAGTTGTCAAAACATCTTGTATTATAATAATCGCTGATTTCAGACAGATATTTGCAAATTGAATAAATATATATAATTGCGCCGAAGGGCTTCGTAATTTCATTAGTTAAATAAACATATTACAGGAAGGTCAAATTGAACTCAAAATTCTCCAATGTGTGAAAACTTAGGCTCAAAATCAATTACCTTTTCAACCACCCAAAGAAGTCGTCACTCATGAACTGATAATGTTTAATGTTTCGTTTGCCCACGCGTTTGCAGCTTTGCCCTTGCGGACTGGAGAAAACTCGAACGTATAAACTGTGTCTCTCGGTGTATCCTCTGTGATGACCTTCTGGACGTAGTTGAGGAAATCTGAGCCAGTTTGCAGACAAACTTCCAACCTTGGTTCAGGAGTCGAGCTGTATGGATGAGACTTGAGGAAAAGTTCCTGTATAAAAAAAATTAAATGATCATTTTAATTTACAAATTATTGAGCATCAATTTATTTTCTGTCAAGATAAAAGTGACGAATTTAGAATTTAAATACCTGGCACTTCTTAAGCAAATCCTCTTGCGAGATATCATCAATCTCCACAATTTTTCTTGAGTATCTGTCCCGAATTCCAATGATCATGTTGCTCATGTTTCCGGCCAAGCACCGAAGCCACTTTGGGAACAAAGTTCTCCTTTTTATACAATATTCAGACAAATTAACTATCAACTTTTGAATTATTAAAATATTCTTACAATACATAGGGTTTTGAAGCCGTCTTGAGCTCGAACATTGCAAATTTACCAAATTCTTGTTTATCTTGGTCAGATCGAATGGCTTTAAATTTATTTTGGACAAGCAGGGTATGGTCCCCTAACATCACTTGGTCAACACTGAAGAGCTCGGAATCCTTCCTCACATACGGTGACTCCAAATCTGGTAGCACATCAGGTGATTCTATCAAGTTTTGCCAGTATAAAAATTATATGTTCCATTTGAAGAAATAAATTTTGAGCTATACCTGAGAGCAGGTGTTTGTGGAACATAAGTCCGGCTGTGTTGACATTGTTAAAGTTCTGACCAATAATTGGCTGCTCCATTCCTTTTTGCCTCCTGACTTCATCGGTGTTGAACGATGCCAAGTAAATGAGTCCTCCTCGTCGGACCGCAGAAAAAGTGATGCCAGAACTGAAGAACAAATCAAAGGCCTTGTCATGCAAATACGCCATGCCCAGAATGTAGTACATTTCCAGTCGAGAGCACACAAAGTTGATGATTGGGCTGCAAATTAATTAATTTTTAATAAAAAAAATTATGTTTAAAATCAAATTATACTAGGCCATATGAAACAAGCTGGGTTTGTAGAAACTGTCCATGATGTGCATCAAGATTTCATTGATGTTTTCATTGAAATCAATTGGCAATCTCAGCAGATCGTCACTTCGAACAATTTCGAGATTGAGGTTGGTGTTCGCAAGATCTTGAGGCAAGTGGAGATATTTGAGAGCAACCTGCTTTCCACAGTAATTGCCATCAGTGAGGCCAAACCAGTCAAGCCTTTCGAAATTCCATTTCAGTTTTACTTTGGGATTTGTGGTGGCCCTTTCGTAGGTGAAAAAGTAAAACTCTTCCATTTGCTGGAGTGCTGCTCGTCCTCTGCGGTATTTGGTGACAGAGCAGAGGTTCGTATTTTCATCTTCCGAACTTTCATCCGAATCGATTTCGGTAGGCCTGCTTTCCCTCCAAAAGTGTGAATTTTTCCCTTTGGCTCCCTTTGGTGGGTAATCCTGGCACCAAACGTCAGCAGACGAGGCTTCCGAGATTGCAGGTGAAGTCGACCTTTTGCGAGGAAACCATTCAACGCCTGTGGGAAAATCAGAAAAAATTAGTCAAAAGATGGTTTAAGACACATTATCATAAAATTTGAGATTAGAATAATGCATCATATTCATTTGGTGTATATAGAGGATTTAAAAACTAAAAAAAAAACCAAGTGCAACTATAGAGAGCTTAATTTTTTACTTATAAGCAATAGTGAAATTTTACATAAAAAATTTTTCAGATAAATCACTATTTTTCATGAATAAAATTTATGTAAAGATACAAAAAAGAGTGCAATTTTTTCTTTACATTTAATTAAAAATATATGCATTAGACTTTCTGCAGTTTACAATATTTTAATTGATATAAATTCTTGGAAAAGAGACATTTTCAAAACATACTTTGTGATGATCTTTCTAGTTCCTGAAGGTCCTGCGCAGAGAAACTGTAAATTTTGTTTTGCCCTGACTGACTAAAATCCGTAAAATCCATCCTTTTCTATTCTGCTTTATCTTGCACAAACACTGTTTAAAAAATCCGTAAAGTGCTCTGTTGATCTGGAAAAAACACATCATAAAAATACAAAATAAAAATCAATTATTATTTACAAGTCTTTTTCACACATATATGGACCCGTGTGGGACTTTTTAATTTTTTTTTTTGCACTGTTTCATTAAAAATTTATAAATTATGAGAGAAATGGATAAAAATATGTACATAAATATTAGGGAAAACATGATTTATGTATTTTGTAGCCAAAAATACATTTCTGTAGTCTGTAGATGGAATTTGAAAGTAAAAAGACGTGCATGCACTCTTCACCGCATTAAAAAAATAAATTATGGAAGACAATTTTATGTGCATGTATGAAGTATATGAAGCTTTAATCAGATTTTAAGTAGGAAAAATATCCTTTAAAAGTTTAAAATTTTCTACGCGTGCAGTTCACAGCAACAGCAAGTCGTTGGAAAATAAGGATGAACCCGGCATGTCAGAGTTCAGAGTTGTCAGACAGTCAATGTAGGAAATGTCGGAATGTCGCAAGAAGTGAAGGTCGAAGGTCGCGACGGTCGTGTGACTCTCAAATCTCACGAATCAAATTTGCTGGCCGGCCGGCTAAATCATCCAAGGCCATCAAGGGCTGTAAATTTTGCAAAATAATGGAAAAGCAGACAACGCGACCGACCCGTGCTGCCCTCTCGACGATGCTTGCGAACCAGTCTTAGGTTACGCATTACCCCGCATCCCCTCGGGGTAATTCGTAATCGCTCATCGCTCCACTGATCCTCTCTCACGTGACCACGTCCACTCTCAGCCCAACTCGCAAGTGAAGTGCACGCGAGTCGCGAATTGCGTTTACGACGACAGCACCCCCGACCAACCCCTGACGGCGAACGGCGAACAGCCTAACAACTCGGCCGTCAGGTTTTTGGTGTTGTACGTACTGGACCGTGCTGTTGGACAGCCACGAGAGCTGCTTCAGGCTCGTATCGACTGCGAAAGTAAGTATTAATTTTTAAAGTACAAAATGCTTCAATCGTCAATCATTTTAATTGTAATAAACGCTGCAAAAGGGTTCCGAAAATAACGCAAAGACCAAACGTTGCCGATTTGTAGCGCGTATGCAACTCGCTGTTCCTGATCGCCAAGGTTTTTTTTCATTTACTCAAAAAATAATGCAACAACCATCAACTGGTTTATGCGTCTCGCAAGTTCGTGCTTGTTTCTTTTACCGACTACCTTGACGTAAATATTCTGAAAATTTATTCTCGCACCTCGATCCGCGCGCGACTTGCATTGCAAAATGCCATCATTCATTTTCAGCATGCCCATCATGTTTGTTACGCAGAAAACAGTCTTCGTGCAAGTTAATTTTTATGAAAAAAATAATTAAACTGTCAAGCCTATTGTTTATAGTCATAAACAAAACTTTTTGTTTCTATACATAATTCAACTAATTGCTATACAAATCTTGCAAAAAATATATTTTCAGGAACATTTGGTGTGGAATAATTATTTTATTCCTCTCTTAATTTGTTTTTTTTTTTCTTACTGTGGCTGTGTCATCGGGGAACTTTATTGTTTTTTTTTTATTCAATTAATTTTCGGCTTACAATTCAATTCATTTTTTTAAGGGCTTTCTTTTTAATTATTTCTTTTTAATTTCTGGCAATTGTTTTAAGTTGAATTCTTTTCAATTAATCTTGCGTTTATTTTAAATTTAAAGTAGCTTTAAATTTGTAAAATAATTAATACAAATTCAATTTGAATTAGCTGGTAGAATTCATGGGATTCCAATTCACTTCAAGGGAATTTGTAGAGGCATTTTAGAATTCAACTGTAAATTCACAGAACTTTCTAGATGCATCTAGAAAGTTCTCAATGTAAATCAAATGGGTGGGTGGGTTTTGCACGACCCTCCCAGGGCTGCTACCCGCGCTATAAAAAGCGCTCCGTCTGCTGGCTCGATGCAGAAGGCTGACAGACCTCAGATAAATCAGAGGACACCTGGACAACCAGTGCAGTTTCGGACACCCGTCCGAACCCTTCGCACCCGTCCGAGCCGTCCCAAGGCCCCGACCGCTGTCTTGTCCCGACGCTGTCTCGTCCGAGGACAGCCGGAAGGCCGACCGCGTCCCGAGCCCCTCGAGCGGCACACCTGTGTCCATCGTACTGTCCGGGGTGTGGCTGAGCCGTCCGAAGCCGTACGGAGCAGCTTTGCCAGCTCCTTCCTGTCCGAGGAATCGGGCGCCGACGTGGCACGCCGCCAGCGAGTGCTCGGACGAAGGCGTCCGAACGTCCGCCGCCAGAGACCCGCACGCCGTGGGCCCCGGCCGCGCCAAGAGCCGCCGCCGACCTGCAGGGAGCCGCCGGGTTCCCAGCAAGGACGTTTCCAGTTTAATTTTGCTTTATAGCAGCACAACTTGCTCCTACAGAGCGGCGCTCCAGATTTGATTTTATTGATAGAAAATTGATTAAACTCGGAATACGGAGCAACTTTAGAAACCTTGATTTTATTGTTGGTTTCCAATGTTGCCATTAATTATAGCTTTTGAAAATTGCTCCCACTTAATTTTTCCAGGGGTTATATTGGATTATGTAAATAAAATGGTCAAGTTTTTAAAATAAATTATGAATAATCGCTCATTACATTATTCTGCGACCGCTCATAATCAAAGATCAAAGCTTTAGTGTCGATGGCAGGTCATTCCAGGGATTAAAAAACCCTGAATGAGGACTGACGCTGACCAAACACACTTTGGGCCAGAAGGTGGCTGCGGCTGGCCCGCTGGAGGCGGAGGTGCAGATTGTTGTCGCGTCGCCTTCAATAACGCGTAATTGTTGAATTCACTCTCGTTCTCACCGTTCAGATTTCGACTTTTTCATTTGTAAAATATTTGTAAAAGCAGACTGTTTTCCAATGTTGGCCGATCATTGACAGGTTTAGATCAAGTCAATTTGACGTGAAAAATTTTGCTCAAAAATAGCAGCCAGATGAATTAATTTTTCTCGTCGGAACGAAATTGAAAGCGAAAATAAAAAAAAAAAAAAAATGGACTAAAGGCGTCACTAGCATTGGAGGAAAAACGGCTTTTGTTCAGTGGGGGGTGGCCGAGAGAAATGCGTGTCATTCAGGCCGGGTGTGGGAAAAAAGGAGCTCAGACGCAGAGTTTCGCAGCAAAAAATCTACATTCATTTATTTATGTATTTATTCTCCATTCAGATACAATATTCCATAAATTCAAAAAGTGGTCATTTAAGACTCGCTTAGTTGGGGATCTCGACCATTGCGTGGCCGTTTTTCCTTAATTTCAGACAATTACAATTGACTTTCCAATTTTATGAAAAGAATCGAAAAAGCTTCTCTGTTGGTAGATTTTTTACCATAAAGCTCAAATTTTGGAATAATTCTATTGTGTTATGGGCACCCATTGCCCCAAATATTTAAAACGTTTCAATTCATAAACTTTAAAAATAGCGCGGAAATGCCCTGAAATAATTTTAAAGGGTTTATTTTAAAAATCTAGGAATTTTTTTTTTACAGATGACCAAACTGCCCAGCATGGGAATTGAAGAAATTCTTCACAATTTTGCGACCCTGTGTATTGATAACCTTTGTTATCATCAGGCGCACCGCCTGGTTCAAAATGACGATGGTCGCGAATTGTTGATCCAGAAAGTTGAGTTTGGCCTGCTGAGTTTAATAATTGATCAGGTATGCTTTTTTTAGACGGTTTCATTATTATTTAAATTTATATTTTTTATTCAAATGATTAAAATTTTTGTTTTAGGTGGGAGCGCAGTCTCAAACGCATGGAGGAGGTCAAGTATGTGTGATTTTTTATATTATAATAAATAATAATACACCACAAGAGACTAGAGGTCCCAGCCAGCTTTGCATAACATTGAAAACATTTTCAAAAAATTATTTTCAAATTTTCGTTTTCTCTTAATAAAAACTTGAAAAAATTTGCCCAATGCAATCGTGGGCCGTATGGGCTGTTATTTACTTTTTTTGCTTCTAGCAATAATACATACAAATTGTGAGCAGATTTTTTAAAATTGATGAATTTCATAAAGATATCACTCAGTTTAAAAATAAAGAATTCAATTCAACTTAATGTTAAAAAAATAGCATGATTATTGTGTAAAAAGGTTTTATTAATAGCGATTAATTTTGGCCATTAATTTCTTTTCTTATTTACAGGGCTCAGATGATGCTGATGAAGAAGAAAAACAGAATTTAATTAAAGTCGTCGAGAATCTGGTGCCAAGTTTCCTGCAAAGACTGGGCAATGCTAGCTGTTTTTTCATTCCCTCACCCGAAGAAACAGTCAACAAACTGATTGACACTGTTTATGATTTCTGCGTAGGTTTTTTTGCAAAATTAAATTTATAGACATTTCACTCCAGCTCTTTTGAGCGAAGCACGACTTGTTAGGAAAAAATAGCAGTGCGCGAAAATTTGCCCCCTTTGGGCGGCGCATGTAATAAAAAATATTATATTGCGTTTAAAAAGATTTTGGATTTTTTTTTTTTTTAATTTCGAAGGTTCTTGGCCCAAAGTAACTGAAATTAAAGGCACAACCTGAGTTTGAATTCAATAGAAATTCCAAATCTTTTAAAAATAATTGTTATAAAATAAGAGGGAGCAAAGTGAAAAAGCGCGGGAGTGAAAATTAAAAATCTCTTCATTACATGGTTTAATAATTGTGTAACTATTTTTTATTTTTCATTTCAGCATCCGGAACAAACAGGTGATGCTGAGGGAAACTTAACGCAGTACCTCAATGTTTTGGTGAGTGGTTTTAGTTTCAAATGAATGTTTATTGGGTTCCAGTGAAGGAAGGGGTGTTAACTAATTTCTTCCATAAATTATTAAATACTGTGCATTAAAATATGAAAAATTAACATCATCATAAAAATTTTATCTTTAATTGTTAAACCTCTACAGGAAATGTCCAGTAATGAGGCTTCTGGGTCTGATGAGGAGGAACCAAAGGATAGTGCTGCGCAGGGTGATGTGGAAACTTCAACAGCTGATCCTCCAAATGATCAGTCTGATGCAAATGAGAAAGTGGAAGAAGAACCAGAGCTGGATGTGAGTACACTCCATTTATAATTGGGAATGTGTGGGTAATAAAAGGGTGTTTAAAAATGCTTTAATTTAGAATATTTCTTACCTTCTTTTACTTACAGGTCAAGAAAAATTTGGAGGAAGACGATATTGATGATGTCTTCAGCCGTTACACTATTGTGTCGTATATTGCAGGAGCACTACTGCTAAAATTTTTTTCCAGAGAAGACGATGTCCGAAATTTCACTCTAAAACAAGGCGGCAAAAAAAAATTTTGCCACCACATATTGTGCCCGAGATATATGGTATTTTCTAATTTTGTATTAATGTTTACGTTTTTAGCTATAATGATTTAATTTTAGATATCTTAAAAAAGAAGAAAAAAGTGTGCACCCTGCCTCAATTGACTGAAATCTTGGAGAGGAAACTGTACAACATCAGTTGGAGTACCAAAGCCAAAAGAACAAAAGCTGCAAAACAAAAGCTGGAGGTGGCCAACCAAGATAATCCAGCTCTCATGAGGAAAATACACACAACATACCAACTGAAGATTTGATAACATTTTAATGATAGAGGATTATATATATATATATTTTTTTTTAAACGGAATGGTCAATTTTGTCGTATCTGCTGATACATGTTTTGTGGTGCTGTCGTGTTAGTTAAATTGTCTGTGTCAATTTGTCACTGTCACATGAAAATATATGTTAACACCTTTGTTATAGGTACTAAAATTTTTGATTAGCGATATTCTAAATTTGAAGAAGATTAAATTGAATGGATTTTTAATTAATAAATAAATATTGATAATTTAAATTTAGAAAAAGTTTTGCTTACTGACGCAGCGTTAAAAATAACGTTGAAATATATCTTTGGATAAACTGATTCCTCTATTATTTATTATACTTGGTCATCTCGGTGGCTTTAAACTTTAAAGTGAAAGGCGCTACCAAAGCTCGGGTAAGTTTCTTACAAAATCCACTTAAAATAGAAAATTTTAATGTTTCATTTCCAGGCTGCGATGAGAAGGGTGAGTTTTGATCCCTTGGCACTGCTGCTGGACGCCTCTCTTGAAGGAGAACTGGAGCTGGTCAAGAGAACAGCGACCCAGGTGACCAACCCAAGTGCAGCCAACGACGAGGGCATCACTGCCCTTCACAATGCGATTTGCGCCGGCCACTTTGAAATAGTCAAGTTTCTTGTGCAGTTCGGGTGTGATGTGAATGCTCAGGACAGTGATGGCTGGTGAGTTAAATTAAAAAAAAAATAACGAGAAAAATGCATGGCTAGCCAAATTGTACAATAGCATAAAGTAAATAAAATTAAAACTATTATACTGTTTAGTTCAATTAATACAGGAATTGAGTAAAAATCTTATACAATTACGAATTAAGAAACTCTAAATTCCAAGTTTGTTCTTCCTGGATAAGTTTTCAATTTGTAAAAATAGATTTGAAAACGTACTCGAAAATCTATTTCTTTTCAATTATTGAATTTGAAATTGGGCATTTGCTAATTTCTTCATTTTTTCAGGACCCCTCTTCACTGTGCGGCCTCTTGCAACAACCTTCCCATGGTCAAATTTCTGGTGGAGCACGGCGCCTGCATTTTCGCCACAACCCATTCCGATATTGAAACGGCAGCAGAAAAGTGTGAGGAGGATGAGGAAGGTTTTGACGGATGCTCCGAGTACCTGTACAGTAAGTTGTTCTCATTCACTTAAATTGTGATTTATTAAAACAAATGCTTCAGGTGTGCAGGTGAAGTTGGGAATCTTGAATCAGGGCGCTGTGTACGCCGTGTACGACTACGAAGCTCACAACACCGACGAGCTCAGTTTCAACGACGGGGACCAGTTGGTGGTTCTCAGAAAGGGCGATGAGTTGGAGAGAGAATGGTGGTGGTCCAAGATTGGCAGCAAGGAAGGATATGTCCCTCGCAACCTTTTGGGGGTAAGTTTCAATTATAGTGAATAAAAAAATTAAACATTAGCAAATTAATTTTAACTGTGAATGAATGTGTGAGGTATAAAACAAAATAAAGAGGAGTAAAATTTTTATCATATATTTGCAATGATCACTTGTTTATTAAGATACATTGTCACATGTTTAAAACAAGAGTAATGCAATTAAACTTTTACAGAAACCCTGGGACATGTTTTAATTTCTCAAGTGATTTGTTCGTTTGATGATTTCCAACAAATTAATTGCTACACAATTTAACAAAGAGCTTGGCTTCAATGGACAGATTGATATGTGACTCTTCGTCTTGAAGTCAATATATTTTGATCTCATCTAAGGCAATTAATAAAAAAAAAATATAAAATAAATTGTTCCTCAATTATACTTTCTTGTCGGCTGATGATATTACTTTGGTCACAACTTGCTGCGTAATAAGCATAAGTACAATTATAAATTCGAAGCATTCATAATGAGTTTATATTATATCAGGTGGGGGCACAGAAATATCCAAGGAAGGGTATTTTTTTTTAAGGCACATAACCAAAATCGTTTCTCTTAGCAATAATTTTAGATTTACAAGATTGAATTTTTGCGATTTTCTTCAACAACGATAATTGTTACAAACACTCATTTGAGGGGCAAGTGGGGAAAGAAAAGCAGGTGCGCGAGTTTCTTGTCCGGTGATATATATCATTTGTCTCAAATCATACATGCTTGACTAGCTTATAAACATGATGATTTTATAGGCTAGAGCATTTTACATATCGTAATATCTGTATTTATATAAAATATTTCCATTTTGCTTAGTCGCGTCGTATATAATATTTATAATAACATTTTTTTATGTATAATACAACAACAAATACTCAACTTCAAGTACATTTTCCAAGTCTATTACCACTGATCCTTTACATTTCATCTTTAGTTCGCCTTTTTATTACTCAATCGTTTCTTTCTCACCCATGCACTAACAAGTACTGATTTGAAGGCACAATTCCTACGCGCAGATATTTGAATCCCACTAGTTCTTTTTTGTGTATACTTGAACTGGTCCCACGGCTGCAGCTCTCGACTCTCAACTCGGCTCAAAGGATGCTGTGACGGCCTTCGCGCCTCGTCCTCAACTTCTGTCATTCCACCTTGCTCGGTTTCACTCTCGGATAAAGCTGAGATAAACAAAAATTGAATTAATACACATTCTGAAATGCAAATAAAAAAAAGAGTTGAAAATCAACAGAAGTTCCTTTATTAATTAAAATTGACTCGATCAAAGACTTATTTCAAAAGTGTCTGATATCCCATTAGAAGAACATTTCATTTAAAAAAAGAAGATATTATAAAATGATGAAAAAATAACAATAAAAAAGAAAAATACTTCTATCCTTATCATTTTCAATTGTAAATTTTTTATTGAATTTAAAGGAAAATAATTCCGGAGGTAATAAATTTTATAAATTTGTTCAAATTGTAAATTTTTATCCTACTTTGTTTCAGGCTTTCATTAATTATTTCAGTTTGAACCATTAAATTTGAAATTATATAATTTACCAATATTTAATTTTTTGTTATTCACTAGCATTGAAACTTACCCCCAAAAGGTTGCGAGGGACATATCCTTCCTTGCTGCCAATCTTGGACCACCACCATTCTCTCTCGAGCTCATCGCCCTTTCTGAGAACCACCAACTGGTCCCCGTCGTTGAAACTGAGCTCGTCGGTGTTGTGAGCTTCGTAGTCGTACACGGCGTACACAGCGCCCTGATTCAAGATTCCCAACTTCTCTTGCACACCTGAAGCATTTGATTTAATAAATCACATCTTAAGAGAATGGGAATAACTTACTGTACAGGTACTCGGAGCATCCGTCAAAACCTTCCTCATCCTCCTCACACTTTTCTGCTGCCGTTTCAATATCGGAATGGGTTGTGGCGAAAATGCAGGCGCCGTGCTCCACCAGAAATTTGACCATGGCAAGGTTGTTGCAAGAGGCCGCACAGTGAAGAGGGGTCCTGAAAAAATGAAGAAATTAACAAATGCCCAATTTCAAATTCAATAATTGAAAAGAAATTGATTTTCGAGTACGTTTTCAAATATATTTTTACAAATTGAAAACTGATCCGGGAAATGCAAACTTGGAAGTTGGAGTTTCTTAATTCGTTGTATAAGATTTTTATTCAATTTCTTAATTAAATGAAATTAACAGTAAAAAAGTTGTAATTTTATTTACTTTATGTTATCGTACAATTTGGCTAGCCATGCATTTTTCTCGTTTTTTTTTTTTTTTTTTTAATTAAACTCACCAGCCATCACTGTCCTGAGCATTCACATCACACCCGAACTGCACAAGAAACTTGACTATTTCAAAGTGGCCGGCGCAAATCGCATTGTGAAGGGCAGTGATGCCCTCGTCGTTGGCTGCACTTGGGTTGGTCACCTGGGTCGCTGTTCTCTTGACCAGCTCCAGTTCTCCTTCAAGTGAGGCGTCCAGCAGCAGTGCCAAGGGATCAAAACTCACCCTTCTCATCGCAGCCTGGAAATGAAACATTAAAATTTTCTATTTCGAGTGGATTTTGTAAGAAACTTGCCTGAGCTTTGGAAGCGCCTTTCATTTTAAGGCCACCTTTTCTCGCGCGCTTTACCAGTTGCTCTCCGGCTGAAATAATTTTGATAGAAATTATTAAAGATTGAAGATTGCAAGTCTAGACACACAAACCAAAAACAAAAAATTCAAGAATAAAAACGAGTTTATCCAAAAGAAATTTCAATAAAAAATTGTACAAAGTGCAAAGTTGGAAAAATAAGTCAGAAAGTAATTTTTTCCATCTCATGTGTTTGGTGATTTATTTAATGAATTTAATCAATTCTAACAATGAATTATTTCTAATTGGGCAACTATGTATAATCATCTGAACAAACAATCGTCCATACCCCTGAATGAAATCTGCATGAAATTGAAATAAGCGTATTTCTTGCATTTTGACATTTTGCACAAACAAACGTACAATTAATTATGTAAAATATTCTTTTTAAATTTAGAATAACTCAATCAGCAGTAAGAAAATTCCAAGAATTTTATTATAACTTGTTTCTTTATGTACTCTGCAAATAAATATGAACAATACAGTAAAATGAAAATAACCGAAAATATCTAAACCCTCTATCTTCCCTGACTACCCATACAGTTCAATTTTAAGATAATTACATAACAAATTTATCGCAGTTATTAACACTTTATGTAGAATAATGTCACAATAATATCATAAACAATCCAAAGCAATTCCAAATTTGGTTGAAGGAGTTTATGTATAACAAAAAAATGTAATTTTAAATAAAAAATTATAAAGAAAAAAGCAATAACCATAATTTTTTTTTTTAAATATTATACAAGAATATAAGAATTAACTTACAAAGATGTTCTTGGTTGATGTTGTTCATGAGGTCGACGTTGTCCATTTTCTCCTCGTTGGGCATGACTCTGTCCGGCTCGTCGACCGACGTCTCCTTCAGGGGAGGGTCGGCCAAGTGGGGGCTGAGGTCAGCCGGCGGCGGCTCGTTTTCGGGGAAGAGGAAGGCGGGGGGCATTTCGATTCGCCGGTTGCTGGCGACCGAGGCCTTCAGCTTGGGCTGCTCGACTGCCATCAAAGGTTTTTTGAGCGCCAAAGGGCGAGCCTTAATGGGCAACTCACTGTTCTGCCGCTTGCCGGGCGGGGTCGATGGCTCCTCCGCAGGGGGGTCCGTCGCTGGGGGCGGCGGGGGCGAGTTGGGCTCCTCGTTGGGCGCGTTCTGCTGCGAGTTTTGCTGCTGCTGCTGCAAAATTTGCTGCAGGAGGCGCGGCGGGGGTGCGGGCTTTGGGGGCAGCGCCGGGCGCGTTTTGGCCGTAGTGCTCTCGGGGTTGACCTCGGGGGTGCCGATGGGAGTTGAGGTACTTTGAGGTGGAGACAGGGTGAGGTTCTGGGAAATAAATATTTAATTACAAATTTTTGAACTGATTGAAATTCTTCATGAATTTAAGTTAACATGTAATTATTGAAATACATGGATAGTTTTATATTTTTGTTTAATACATTAAAATCAATTCTATAAGCCAAGAAGACCTGATCCACTTAAAAATGCATTAAAATGTATTTTTATATATTTAAATTTTAACTTAGTAAAGGCTGATAGTATTTATTTTAATTTTCTATTTAAATTATTCATCTTATTTAATTAAGCTCTTGATAATTTTTATCATCTAAAATTTTGATATTAAAACTGCATGTCATGGTAAAGTAAAATGTTACATTAAAATAGTTTTAAAACTTTAAATAAGTAAATCTATTAAATAACCCAATTGAATTGTAATGAAAAGAAAATATAAATTTATTTTAAAACATAATATATGTTAAATTATAATTTTAACTATTTATTTTTACATACTTGTGGTACAGCCCCTGTCGTTTGCGTTTTGCCCTGATAGATGGGGGACGGCTTTTGTGCATGGGGTTGCTGCGCCTGCTGCTGCTGGTTGGGGGTGGTCACCACTGATGGAGCCACGCTGCTCACAGGGCGCTGAAATGGCAAAATCAATAGTCAGAATAGAAGAAGCAAGTCTCACTTTCTCTCTCTCTCTCAATTTTATCCTCATTTCGTTCGTGTCCAAGGATGGTCACCGGCGCCGTTGGAGAAAATAAAAAATCGAGAGCAAAAAACGCTTCCGCCGTCCCGGTGATTAATTAAATGACTCTGTACATACCTGTTGCGTGGAGAGTGGGGTGCTGGGGGTTGAGGTCACCGGCTCTTGTTGCTGCTGCGGCTGACCTGCATGGGGCGGGTGACTGGCGCCGGCCACCTGTTGCACCATCGAGGCCACATTCAGGGCCAATTCCGCCCCACTGAGTCGGTGGGACCCTCGGGCCCCGTTGCCGGAGCCGCCCACTGGCTGGCCCCTGGAACCAGCAGGAGGTGGAGGTGGAGGCACGTAGGCTGGGCCACTTTGTAGCCTGTGGAAAAGTTGCATTTTTTTATTTAAAAAAAACCCGCAAAAAATTTAAGATTTTTCTTACTTGTTTATATCAGCAAATTATAATGAAATGAAAATTAGCAAAGATCATTGAAAACGATTTGGAGCTTTTTGAGGATTTTGTATCTTTAACCCTTTGAATTAATTTGTATAAATATACACAAAGATGAGTAAAAGTTAGCTTCACTATCAAAGCAAAATTCTTACAAACCCAGTGAAATTAATGAAAGACTCCTTGAATGGTTAAATCAAAACTTTTTAGCAATATAATTAAATTGTTGTTTTATCCACGATCTTTTCAATAATGAGTGTAAATGAGTGCTTAAGAAGAACAAATTAAATTAACAATTCAAAAATACAGAGAGCTGGGTTTTTTTTATTAACTTAAAATGGTAAGATACCTTTTTTAAATTAAAAATTCCTGCATTTTGCAAACTATTAAGTGAAGTTTTACATAAATTGCAAAAAAACTATCTGCAATTTCACATATTTTTGTTGCATAATCCACGAATATATTGCTCCAGGACTTGCTGCTTATGAAATTTCGTAGTCTTCCTTTTTTAATATAATTTCATGTTATTCTTTAAGTATGTAATCAGCTTTAAACCAACCTTTGTTGTTGTTGTTGCTGCTGTTGATGTTGGTTTGCGTTCGACTCCTGCTGCTCCTGATTCATGCCGATGGCGTGTCCCTTTTTGGCGTTGGCCACCGCCGGCGCACTGTGCACCAAGTTGACCATGTTGTTGTAATTGTTGTTGTTGTTGACGTTGTTGTTATTGTTGATGAGGTGCGGCTGCTGGTCCTGGTTGTTCTGCAGCTCGGCCGCCTTGTTGGCCGCGCGGCCGGCGGCCAGCGAGGCCGCGAACTTGGTGTTGTATGGCAACGTCTGGTACTTGGGGTCGCTTTTGCTGAGCTGCGGCGGCGGCGCCTCGGGGGCCAGCGGCGGGTTTCGCCGCCGCAAAAACGGCTCCACCGCCGCGATGTTGGGCCTGCTCGACGCTCTGGGCGCCGCCGAGTTCAGGTTCAGCACCTGAGGGCCGCCGGCCTGTTGCTGCGCCAACTGGGACGCCAACTGCTGGTTCAGGATGCGTTTTCGGTGCAGACGTTCCTGCAACTCGGAGATTCGAGCGTCGATCCGAGCCATCTCGTCATGTCTCGCCGTGATCGCGTCCCGCTGCTGACTCAATTTTTGACTCTGCTGCTCATTTAGTTTGTTGCGGTACTGAAAAGCAAAAGAAAATTCAAAATTCATTCGAGAATCGTCATAGATATTCTTTTTATTTTAATAAATATTTTTTGCATAATTAACATAATTCTTCTGTTCAACATTTGAATATTAAAATATTGAAACTTTGCTGGAAAAAAAACGATTTAAGAGAGAGAAATTAACATTTGGGCACCGAAAAAGGTTATTATTCTTTATAATATTCCTTCAAGCCTTTTTAATTAAAATTTAAATTCTTGTGATACAATTTTCACTTTTCACAATTTTGCGAGTGAATTGTTTTAGTCTTAATTTTTCAAAGATAATATTTGTTTTTATTAACAATCTTTTAAAATTTTGAATTTACATGACGAATTTAAAGTTTTCTCTGTTATAGCTTGATTGCCTTGTTTGAATTGATTTTACAACTAAATTCTATCAAATTATGGACAAATATTGTTACAACCACTTCTATAATCAAAATCACAAAATTGAATGTCAAATTTGTTGGAAATAAACTTGTGTGTAGGCTGACTTAATGTAAACAACTCCTTAATTAATGAACATTGAAAGGAATTCTCCTATAATTATTGAATATGAACTCCAGTCTTCATTTAATGAGCAAATTGTTTACTTAAGGAATTTGAATGAGAAATCAGAAAGCTGGAATTGACAAATTCCGATGTCTCTCTTGGCGTCTTGCAAAAAGGTTTAATTAAAATGAAAAGAGCCCTTTCACTCTAACTAAGGGAGGCACGCACTGCTCTTCACAGAGCGGTGGAGAGGCAAAGTTTAATTTAATTTGGCAACGCAAATAAAGAACCAAGGCAAAAATAAAATCGTATTGATGAACCCCTTTTCAGAAAGCTTCAAACCGGCATGGAATTTTCTTTCCTCGCTCTCCGAACAAAAAGTAAAATCGCTTTTATCTCTCTCGGTTCGTTTAATGTTTCTTTCGCCGATACGTCGCGCGTTTATTAAGTCTGCGACGGCATGTTATAAATGAGACTCGGCGCAGGGTGAGAAAATTCACTCGCCTTTTTTCGCCCTTTACTGCCGAGCGGCGCAACTTTGACAAAATATATGACGTCGAGTGCAGAATGTTGTTTGGCCAAATAGCTCTCAGCCACTGACTTATTTACCCAGACCAACCCCTGGCCGCGCCGTCCAATTTATATCCGCCGTCCAGCCGCCCATTTAAACTAAATTTATTGGTCAGGTTGAATTTTTACGGCTGCGTGCAACCGGCGCCGCACCCACTCAAATGCAAATCGCCCCCGCGCCGACAGTTACAAACCGCCACGACTTTCATTCGGTTGCACAGTTTGACCGTTCCGATTGTTTTTAAAACAACGTTTGTTTGTGTTAAAAGACGGAAAACCAACCTTCCAACCACTGAATTTAAAAATATTATGGGGAGTGAATAGGGATAATATTGAAATTAGTTTTACTTGAATATTTCATTATTTTAAATTACAGAAATATTCGCAGTTTAAATTAGAAAATAAATTCTTAAAAAAACACCAAGTAGCAATGAGATGATTTTGAGGAATTATTTCTGCTCAAATTATCGTGTGCGTGAATTTTTGATAAAAATTAAATATTAAACCGTTTTTACTCCAAACCGAAATTTTTTCAACATTGATCGTCTCATTGTTGAATTTATTTTTGAAAAGTTAATTTTATTTGAAAATCCTACTTCGATAAATTTTATTTTTTAATATTTGGAAAAATTTAATAAAGTTGAATATTTATTTAAAAAAGCAGCCAATACTTATAAGACTTGGATTGACCAAATAAACAAATGAAAAAAAATGGTTTTTCTTGTTCCGATTCATCTTTCATTCCGCGAAAGTGATAGTCAACAATGCAATTCAGCAGGGTGCGTGTCCGTTGGGACGGCTCGTCATCGCAGACAAAAAGTAGAGTAGTGAAAAATGATAGGTACCATCAATTCGCGGCGAAGTTTCTCCAATTCGAGAGCAGCCACCGAGGGTCCATTATTGGCGTTGTTGGCTCCGGCGGAGGCGGCGCGGCCCCTCTTGACCTCCTCCAGTTGCCGGGTCAGCTCTTCCACTTTGGCCACGGCCATGCAAAGCTCCTTTTCCTTCTCATTGAACAAAGCTCGTATCGAGTCCAAGTCGGACGCTGCAACAAAAGGAACAAACGCATTCGGTTAATTAGTGGCGCTGCAAATGACAAAGTTTTAATTGAACGTTAATCAAGAAGGGTCTCTAATGGTTACTGCCGTGCACGTGTAATTACACCCCGCGTGCAGCCTTAATACGGCCGTTTGATAATTGCCACCGGGAAATAAAAAGCAAAGAGGTTTTTTTCCTATTCTTTGCTCGAGCCCCGATTTGCTGGGATCGGCGTTTTAAAATTAAGGGCGTTGATTAATTAGTGCGTCGGTGAGTTTTCTCGCCCGAGACAAAAACAAGAAGTGCGCGGCTGTGCACGAGTTTCTGAAGCGCCGAGCCTATGTGTCCTTGAGAGGGAGGATCAAAGCCGAGGACCATCAGACTTTCAAGTGCGCACTCGACGCAATAAACATGATGCGATGGAGCGCGGGTCACGCGGCAATACAAGGGACAAACAGGATCGGCAAATTAGCAATGTCGGTTTCCAGTAACAGAGGAGCGAAGGAAGGATCAAATTTTTGGTATCCAAGGAGGATAGTTAGGATTTTAGTTAATTGTAACACCATTTTTTTTTTCAATTTCAAATCTTTGAGGCAGTATTTGAAATATAATTTGTCAGCCATTTTTTTTATTTTTTAATTAAATAACTGAAAGTTATCTTCAATTTAGTTTCAGAAGTTTGTTTATTAATTGGGTTCAAAACTGAGGGCAACTTTGCCCCATACATGAACTCATCCATATTAATGAAAAATAAAAATTTAAAATAAGAGAGAAAGACAACATTAATATTTCTCAATGAATTGCTTTGTCAGCGTTGCCTTGAAAAAATTTAATAAAATTTAGAAAAAAAATTTATTTAAAATAAATTTATTGCAAATCAGCGGCACAAAATCTCCGAAAACCATACCAAATTCTACAACACTCTCGCAATGGGTAATCTAACTCGGAAGTGTGTTCAGATAATAGCCATCTTATGATATAAAAAATATGAATTAATTCTTTATTTGTTGCAAATTTTACACCAATAGTTATAGAAATCGGCGTTTTTTAGACCAGGAAAGCAATTTGATAGGTATTATTGTCCATTCTATCACGATAGAATGATCAATAACGTGCGCGCGCGTGTGTGAAGAGTTCCCGGACGAGAAATGTTTACCTGGACGTAATTGAAACCCAACCGTTTCCAAACAGTTTTTTTCTCATGCAATTTTCCTCTCTGCGTACGTATATATTTGAGCATAATTTTATTTTTTGCTTTCACAGGAAAAAAGTAATCGAGACCAGCAACATTTTATTTATTTTACGTTCTGATTGATGCTGGTCTCTCTGTCAACTGACAACGTGGAATAAAACAAATAGTTTGGTAAGTAAATACTTGCGAGCGATCAAATCAGGCGGGCAGCGAGCCAAACACGCCGATTTTCTCGCTTTTGCCAAATTGTTAATATGGGATAATTTAATTAATGATATAATTCAGCCATTCAGAGAGAGGAGGGCCCTGATTTATTCAGACAAACAAAGCCCCGGCGTTTCCCTTCTTGGTTTACAGAGGAGATTGTAATTCCACGGCGGTGAATGGAATTCCAGGGCGAGAAATCGTGGTTTCTATTGTGTGCGGAACGGGTTGTGATATTGTTATGGTGCGCCCCGTTTTCTGGCCAAGCGCCAGATTAGAATCAAAATTAAAGCAGCAAACTGAAGTAATTTCATATTTCATTACACGGTGATCATATTCTAATCCACGACATTAACTCTGAACCTGTCCAAGGAAATGGTTTGGTTTGAATTACTGTACTTTTGATATATTAAATGACAAAAATTTAATTCCTGATTAATTCAATACAAGCAGATAAATTGTAACTAGATTTTGATGGAAAGATAATATGATGTATGAATTTAAAAGGTTCAACAACATTGTTAATAAAAATTAAATTTCTTTTCATTACAAAAAATACATTGATTAATTCTGTCCCTTAAATTCCAGTTAAAATATAATAAAATTTTAATTTAAAACGAAAAGTAAAAATTATTTAAAATACATATAAATCATTAAAAATTTTACATTTAATTGTGAAAAAAAAGGAAATTATATATTATTTATAATTTAAAATAAAAAATATTTACAATTTCATTTTTTACTTATGACTTAGGAATTAAGCGCGACAGCTTGTCAAGAGTTCCGGACAGATTGCACAGCGGCGCGGGCGTGCATGCAAATGCATCGTCGGACGTGGGATTAGCCGCAGTCTGTCGGTCGTTCCGTTCGATCAGAGCAAGCACACATAAATTCAAAACACACGCACGTTCTTTTCTCGGTGGGTTTTCGGGCCGTATCCAGCGGGGAATATATTGTCGGTGCCAGGCGGCGCCCGATGTCTGGCAAATGTAGATAAGATTCGCGTCTCATCTCGCTCGACCGGCTGCTTCTGTTCAGCCTCAACCGCCACCGGTGCAGCCATAAACAACGAAAACGCAGGCGGAAAATCCGCCCACCGCTCGGTTTTTGCCGCGCGGCATTAATCTCATAAATAAATTGATTGCTCCTTGTGGCCTAGTTCTCGCAGTCGAGGCACGTTTTTGCCAGCCGCACTCTAATTGGAAATCAATTATCATCGCTTTTACAGAGCGAGAGGCAAAAACCGATTAATGCGATTATTGATTGTACCGATCGACGGGTGAAAAAGGGAAGCAAGAAAATTGTGTGTGAGCTTCCAAATTTTGCACTCTTTTTATTGAGTAGGACTTCCATTTATCTATTTTCAACCTCTAATAAAATTGCTTAGCTGGTGCAAATAGTCTTGCTGGTTTGTTTAATTTCTCCAAAATCTAATTCTGAGAACATTAACCTTTGCCAACATGCCACATTAAAATGAAAAATTATACACAATTCACCATTTTTTTTTTTTTTTTTAGATATTCATGAATACGGACTATTTTGATAATTTTTTACTAATTTTATTGATTTTTTTAAATCTTTGAAGTATTACTTATTATTGTTATGCAGATTCTAAGACTTTTTACGTTTCTTCTACAGGCAGAATCGCAATAACTGGTTTGATTTCAAGAAAATTAATCCCAAATCACACTTTGCTTAGAGTCTAAAGAACCTGACAAAAGGAAAATAATTTCAGCCCAATTCTGTAATTAATTTTCAATATTATAAAAGAGTTTAGTCTCGAATTAAAATTTTGTGAATTATTTCTAATCTTTGATGCTGAAAATAATTGTTTGAGCTTGACCAAATAAATTTATTTTTTATCAAATCACACACAGAGATTTAAATTATTTTTAATTACTTTTACTTCATTTTCCGTGATAAAACATTAAGCTTATCACGCACAATTAATTTCCAACACAATTTCGTTCATTTCCGAGCCACAAAAGTTAATGGCCACTAAAGAGTCGCATTAAAGTGGGGATATTACGTTTTAGTTATTGCAGCACACCGGGGATGAGAAATAACATACCGAGCATAATTTCCACCCCAAAGTTGAGACGTTGTTCGGTTGCATCCCGGCACAGTTTGTAATTAATAGTGCACATTTAATAATGGCGCGGAAGGTATGCAGAAGACTCTAGCGCTCGTCAGCAGGAAATTGGGCCATAAATTGAGCGCGTAATTAAATTTCGATTCTGCTTTGAATTCAATAAATATTCGCAGGAGGGGCGAAATTGCTCGGAAGGTATACGAGGGAAAATGACTTTTAGCCCCTCGGCAGATTAATCTTGGTGGTGGAGAAGAAGAAGTTCATCATCGCGATGAGGCACCACCTCTCTCTGATTTCGCATGCAAATAAAACTTCGCGGCGTAAACAGCACCGTGAAATTTCATACTCACTCCCAAGAGAGGCCAACCGCGTTTTGGTCTTTGTGCTGTTCCGCCGCTGAGGATTTGGTTAATGGAATGTCTAATTGAAAGCAACAAATTTCGCGCGTGCCACCCGAGGAGAGACGTGGGTGAAATTTTAATTCCCTCGCAAATTGCCTCTTTATTTACTCTCAGAGGCGAACCTTATTTAAAAAGCCGCATCTCCTAATGAAAAATGTGAAAGTGCATTTTTCTTTTTTTAATTATTAAAAAATTGTGCATGCACAAGGTGAATAAGGGTGGCTTTGAAAAAGGGAACCGATGCGCGGCACCGAGAGAAAGAAAGAAAGAGAGAAAAGTCAAAAGTTCATTTATATGCTAAGCTCGGCGCTCTCCCTTCAAGTCTGCCGGCTTGATTAAAAAATACAAAGGCTGCACCCTGTGAGAGCCGCGGCCAGATTGTGGATTGAGAGCGGAATAGAGAAAAGGAAAATCAAAGTGAAAAGTCATGAGCTCGCGCCGTTTAATTTGCAGCGGAAGAGGAAAAAATCAATGAGGAATTTGCATCAAAATATAACTCCCGAGTGGGGAAGAAAAGATCTCTGAAATAATTTATTTCCAAAGTGGCAGTTCCATTAAAGAGAGCATCTTTTAGCACGCAATATTACTAATGGCGTGTTCCACTCTTATTTTTTTATTCTCTTGCCAAGGAGGAATAAATTTTATTCGTGTATGTTTAAGGGTTTTTCCTTTTTTGGAGGAAGATTTGTGCGACGAACGCAAAAACGAATGAATGCAAACCGAAACTCGGGGAGAAGGAGCAATTCATACAATTTGTCTCCGTCGTCGAGGCTAAGCAGATGCTTCAACTGATAATTTTGCAATTTGCTTACATGGAAAGGAGCGAGCTCTTATCACACCAGGAAAGGAGGAAGATTTTCTCAATCTCTTTAATTTCGGCTTTGGAATTGCATTCAAACGCAGAGATAATCGCACTTGCGTGGGAACGGTAGCCGGCTAATGACACAAAACACGGAATTGCCGGCGAGAGCACGTTTAATGGCCGCGCAGAGAGAGCAGGAGCATCATTACGTGCAGCATCCAATCGTGGAGTTATGGCATTTTTACGTGACCCGCCGCGGACAAACGCCACTTTGCTTACGGCCGAATCTTTTGAGCTTTCAAAATTTAAGGTCAAA